GTGACCCAGGTGGCTTTTTTTTTTTTTTTTTAAGTATTTGGGGGATTTCAATCTAATAGCTCCATAAAGCAAAACTAGCAGGATATGATCACTAGAGCCCAACTGATCAGAGATACAGAAGTAGGCTGCTCTCCTTCCCCTTGCACCTCGGATTTTTATCCAGGTTCAACACCCTCACCTCTCCCCACAGGGCAGGGTTTTACCTAGGGTGCAAAACCTGATATGTATGTCTCTGATTTCAGCTAGGTTTTATTAGAGTCTGGTGTGTAAAACAGTGGTAGTTCCAAATTTTCTTCTTTCTAGGATCACACCCTGCCTTACAGACATCTGTATCCTGTTTGTACATATGTTGTGACTGAACCGCAGCACTATCTCAGGAGTTAGCCTCCTCCCACCTTTATGGTGCAGGATCACCATCTGCAGTGCTGAAGACTGTTTTAATGGATAACTCTTCGAGTAAATAGTTTACCTGTTGAACCTATAAAAATGATACAATGTGTAGTACAAATATTGCTTATAGCCAGAGGCAGGTGGGTGCCAGTAAGAGAAGGTAGGAGATGTGTAGTTGCATTGAAACACCCTTTAGAGAGCATATGGGACATGTTAAGGGAAAATAAAAAGAAAAAAGTATGAATTGAAGGGGAGAAGGGAAAGAAAGGGTGGAAAAATAGCAGGGTCCAAGAGTACTAATAGACTGAGTAATAGATTCAACATCAACCAGATGATCCACATATCTGCATAGGGGCCATAAACACTACAGCCAGCAGCTTCCATTAAAGCTAATGGCAGCACTTTTGAAAAATCAGGACATTGAATTAGGTGCCTGCTGTGTTTATCTGAATCTAAAATGACCCTGAGTTGAAGACAACCCCCCAATAATTAGATTCTATACATGGAAAAATTATAATTTGTTAATAATTTTCCGTGTATAGAATCTAATTATTGGAGGATCATCTTCAGTTCATCCCCCCTGACTGCTGCCGGGGGGGCAGGTAGTAGCAGGGCAGGAGGTGTGGGAAGGTCAAGCAGCTTACCACATGCTTGCGCCTGCCCCCCTGCAGCCTCAGCCCCTGCCTTCCACCTCTGTTTCTGTTTCCCCTCTACCCTCTGCCCTTCCCTTGCTCTGTGTCAGCTATCTCCATCCATGTTTTAGTCTGGGGCAATAAACATGGCCCCAGCTGGGCCCCCATAGCAGCCATGCCAGTACTACAGGGCTGGGCTGGGGCCATGCTATGTGACTTAAGCTGCCATGTGGATGGAGCCTGCTAGCACGGAACAAGAGGAAGGGGGCAAGGGAGAGGGGCATATGGGGCAGCAGGGGCTGCATGTGGGAAGGAGATAGAGGGAAGAGGGTACAGAGGGGGTCAGGCAGCAGCTGCAGCTACAGCCCGAACCCCAGGTAGAAGCTGGAGCCCAAGCCACAGCAGCTGCCTACCTCCCTATCACCCTTGTACTCGATTCTAAGACGAGGGGCTTTCCCACCCCCTGGTAAATGGTGGGGAGGCGTTTGTCTTAAGCTCGAGTAAGTGTGGTGTGTATATGGATATGGCATCTAACCTCCAACATTTCTTTTTGAAAAACCTTGGCTCTGGTACTGGGATATGTTGATGTTTGGTATAGGCTGCCTATGATTCATACATTTGCAGGCGCTGGGATCATCTAGCCTAACTTCCTTGATACCATAGACCTAATCCGTGCTTGAGAGCTGGGTATATCTTCTGTCCCCCGGTGTCCAGTGCAATTATTTGTTGGCAAGTTGCTCTAGAAGGTATTGTCACACTGAGTCAGAGCAGATCATTTGCGGTTTTCATGCCCTGGCACTTTGTTTATAAGAGTAAAAAAAACCTAGTACGGGCAGTCAGGTTCTTCTAAAATTTCGTATATACAGCTTACTTTGGTAGGTAGAAAGAGCAACTAGGAAATCGCAACTCATTGGTCTGATCATGCTCCTGTATAGCACCAATTTTTTTTCATGTACTGTCCCCTCCAACAACCCAGTAAGACACCCACCTCATTTTTGGAAGGCAAAATGTAGAAGAAAAGATTTTTCCAGAGCTGGCTTTTTCATGGAGAGATATTGGCAACAGTATTTGTCATGCTCAGTCTAAACCTGTTGCCAATTTGAGAGCACCTGTGAAAGGGTTAATGTGACACTCCACCCATTCTGTTTGCTGCCTGAGAGAGAAACTGGTAGCCATCTTACAGCACAGCATCTCCATGCTTCCTTTCCTCCCCGCATCTATTCCAGTGAAGAAAAATCAGCTTCCCCACTTAAGACACACCCCAATTTAGGACGGGGTGGTATTTTTGAGAGAAAGGTGCATGTGGCATGAGAGTAAATATGGTAAGTATTTATGGATGTCCTTAGAAGTTTATTTAGTTGGAAGTATTGGAGTTGTAAGTTGCAGCCATATGCTCTTGCATGCTCTAGATTTGTGCAGTTACAATTGTAACTAAATATGATGGGACTTCCTGGCTTCCTAGGCTGTGAAGGCTGTGTCCTCATTCCTAGGAGAACAGAAAACTTCTTGGTTCACACAGAAGTTGTTTCCTCTGCACAAATGGGAGATCCAGAGGGAGCTGTTTCCAGCTGTGCTTGGTGAGAGGCTGGACTGCAAGTTGAGAGCAACTGGAAGACCTCCAGCTGTCCTGGGTATCTTACCCACTGTCTAGTACTTAATAGCAGAGTCACTTCTGAAGCCACTGTTTCTCAGCAAGTATTTTTTTGTGACAGAAGTTATATGGCCAAAGAGAACCATTGTGATCCTCTAGGCCTGAGAACCCACCCAGTGCTTGTAGCAACAATACAATACTCAAAGCATCCCTTTCCATCTTCCAGCCAAAGCTGTTGGGATTCTAGGAGTACACTAAGCATCTTGAGCCTCAACACAGTGGATGAGTAGAAGGAAAAAAAGGAGAGATAAAGAGCTAAATGGCCTCCTGAAGTCCCTTCCTGCTGTACTTTTCTACGATTCTGTGATCTTAAAGATCTGGTTTAAAAATATTGAGCCAAATTTTGGTTTAAGAGCTGATAGGGGTAATATACAAGTTCCCAAGTCCTTTGTGAATTTTCTGACTTAATAATTAGAGCAGGGTCTTGCCTTGGTGTGAGAGGAACCACAGAGGCAAGGAGACCTTGGGAGCTGAGGAGTAGAACAGCTTGTGGGACATTCACAAGTGTTGTTGCTGCCCCTGCAGAGCCTGCCGGTGGGCGCAGCGTACTTCAAAACAGGTGATGTGAGAACGAATTAGCATTCCCTGATGGAGGTGTTTGGTGCTGCTCTGCAAAGGCTCCGTTGCAGAAGCAGTGGAGCGTGGTGGCTCCAACAAAAGATATAAAATTATGAGTACTTTAGTGTGTACATGTTTAAAAGTAAGTGTGCGCTAAGTGGTATGTGGGGTTAGGACCAGAGAGCTCAATACATACACGATCAATATGTGCTCCTGGCTGGCATGTGCTGCTACCACCACAGCTGTGCTGGTGAGAAGTCTGGATCTATGCTATGAGCAACTCAGTATGTACAGAAGCTCCAACTGCCCCTGGACAAAGATGGGGTGGTAATTTAGGACAGAGAGGAGTTGTGGGTAGAGGATTAAGAATAGGCTTCATGTCTCTTGGGCCCCTGGTACACATTGCACTTAAGATACGATTAACCAGTTAATCATGTCTTAAATAGTTATCTGGCCACAGATTCAAGCAGTTAATGGTGTGATAAAACAAAGCATAAGTCACAAAGTTGCTACACAAAGTATGTATAGCTTTGTGGCTGGTCCCTATCACATTGTGAATTGAATGTGCAGCCAGGCTGATCAGGGTTCCTAGCCTCCAGAATGCATGGCAACTCGACTCCCATATGTTCCCAAAGCTGAATGTCAGTGAGCTGATTGCCAGTCCCAGCCAGGGGGGCATATGGCCAATGTGCCCCCAAGGCTGGGACCTGGGAGCAGCGGCAGTTCTTGGCTCAGCCTTCAGGGCTCAGCTGGAGTCACTGCACCTCCATGGCTGGGAGCTTCAATCGGTTGATTCAGGCTCCCAGCCGTGGGAGCTTGCTACTCGCCTTGCCGGATCCCGGGCTCCCCCTGCACTGCCAGTATGTCATGATGGGATCTCATGCTCAATCCCACAGTCACACCTCCTGCCATGCAAATCTGGATTGACAGGAAGCGTGATTGTGGGGATCACACATCAAATCCCATAGTGCCTTTAATTGCACATCTGCCAGGAGACTTGTATTCACAGGCTATAGTCCAGTCAGGAGAGTCTTTCTTCACACAGTGGTTTGGTTGGAGAATACCAGAGTTTGTACCAAGGGGGAATGTGCCTCTGAGCAAAACAAAGTGCAGCAACAAAAGGAGTCTTAAAAAATGGCTTCCACATCACATAATTCCCTGGTTGCCTCTCCAGTTAGTTGTATGTCACTGAAGAGACAGATAATGATACAGATCAACCCCTGCTGAGTTTTTTGCGTTGTGGATGCGCTGCTGTTGGAGGACTCCTTAATGCCTTTTTAACAAGGACAGATGTTAAGTCTGATGTTCATGGCAGTGGCATTACAGGCATTCACAGTTCAAAGACATATGCATTTCTTCATCCACTACTAACATATGCATGGCTGAGTCCATGCTTGCCATATAAAAGACAAGACAATGGATATTTTCCTATTCACGTTCTCTCTTTTCCCCTCCACCTCCCCCTTTCATTTTTCCTTTTCCTACAGGTCAGCGTGGAAGTCTTGGTAGAATACCCTTTTTTTGTATTTGGACAAGGCTGGTCCTCCTGCTGCCCTGAGAGAACCAGCCAGCTCTTCGATTTGCCATGTTCCAAACTCTCTGTTGGGGATGTCTGCATATCGCTCACTCTCAAGAATCTGAAGAACGGCTCGATTAAAAAGGGCCAGCCCATGGATTCAGCTAGTATCTTGCTGAAGCACTCAAAGAATGACAGTCTAGCTGGAAGTAGACACAGGTATGCGGAGCAGGAAAACGGGATTAATCAGGGAAGTGCACAGATGTTAGCTGAGAATGGTGAACTGAAGTTTCCGGACAAAATAGGATTGCCTGCAGCACCTTTGCTCACCAAAACAGAACCCAGCAAGCCCACAGCGACGAGGAAGAGGAGGTGGTCGGCCCCCGAAACACGGAAACTAGAGAAATCAGAAGAGGAACCACCATTGACTCTTCCCAAGCCTTCTTTTATTCCTCAGGAGGCTGACTTTC